TACATTTTGAACCTAGAAGCAGACTTTTTCCACTGGAGAGAGCTGATGTGTGGTTAACGCTGGGGCTTGCAGGTTTGCCGTGGCAGCCTTTGTATTAGAGTCTCACCTAAATTAGGATCTTCATGCACGGTTAAGTCTCTTTACGTGCAGGAGAGCATGCAGGCAGAGACGGGAAGCACAGTGTTCATAGGGAAGAGCCAAAACGAGAGCTGTCCTGTACGTGAGAGGTGAGCGCACGAAGCAGAGGGTGCTTCTGTAATGAAGTGGTTGACTGCCACAGGCTCACGCTGAAATGGACTCTCTTTCTGTGCCATTAGTATAACGAGTCCATTTTGTATGTGGAGTTTTGCTCCCGCAGCACTTTTATTTCTTCTTTCAGATCAGCGGTTTGAGTTCAACGTTTGCACCGATACTCTTGGAAATTATTCAGAGTAGTCAGCCTGAAGGGGTCCATCTGTTAGTGAAAGAGGTATGTTTAATTTTACCAATGCCTTTGCATTTAGGAAGCAGATATGACGCGTGACGTGAATTTGCTTTGAAAATACAGACCTGGTCCTGAGGCTATGGTCTATCCCTAGACTTAGGGATACCCAAGATCTCCCAGAACCAGGCCCTCACTTGGTCTGTGAAAAACCATTACCTCTACTTCTTGATGAGTGTTTCATTTTCCATTTAGCCTCCTATAATTAGTGCCACAGAAGGTACCTTCCCAGCCAATCCTATAGATCTGTAGGAGACGGCAGGTTGCAAGTTGCTTCCCTTTGCTGCCGCAGATTCCCTGCGACTCAGAAGGGAACGCTTTCCTTCAGCAGTGCTTCACAGCCTCCTATCTGGGAATCACCAGGAACTTCATGGAGCAGTTGGTAGCAAAGCTGCGACTGGAAACCCAAATGCTGTGCCCTGTTTTGATGGAATTTGCTCTGGGAGGGGTTCAGCTTGTTTTCCGCGGAAAGGCCCAACAGTTTTCTCAGCACTGAGGACTTCAGGACAGAATCATAGAATCATTAAGGTTGGAAAAGACCTCTAAGATCATCGAGTCCAACCGTCGACCCAACACCACCAGGCCCACTAAACCATGTCCCTCAGCGCCTCATCTACTCGTCTTTTAAATACCTCCAGGGATGGGGACTCCACCACTTCCCTGGGCAGCCTGGTCCAATGTTTAACCACTCTTTCAGTAAAGACATTTTTCCCCCCGTCCAATCTAAACCTCCCCTGGCGCAACTTGAGGCCGTTTCCTCTCGTCCTATCGCTTGTTACTTGGGAGAAGAGACCGACCCCACCTCGCTACAACCTCCTTTCAGGGAGTTGTAGAGAGCGATGAGGTCTCCCCTCAGCCTCCTCTTCTCCAGGCTAAACAACCCCAGTTCCCTCAGCCGCTCCTCAGCGGACTTGTTCTCCAGACCCCTCACCAGCCTCGTTGCCCTTCTCTGGACACGCTCCAGCACCTCGATGTCCTTCTTGTAGTGAGGGGCCCAAAACTGAACACAGTATTCGAGGTGCGGCCTCACCGGGGCCGAGTACAGGGGCACGATCACTTCCCTACTCCTGCTGGCCACACTATTTCTCCACTTGCTGGTGCACCAGGCATAAGGAGATATTTAAACTTCTGTCATTTTACATTGAGACAAAACAGTCCCAGGAAGCCCTATTTATTCAGGGAGAAAAGATTTTTGCGCCCTGAAAGGCAAGGCAATACAGTAAACTCAAATATGAAAACACAGTTGGCTTCTTAAGTGGCCTTTGAAGAACGTTTAGTTATCTCCAGCTTTGCAAAACCAGAAGGAATACAGGAGAAGGTCTCTTGAGTCCAGTAATCTTCTCTGCTTTGGTCACAGTCCCATCTCTGCCTTAGGGCTGCCATTTCTTTTTTTAATTTTGGCTGATGGCTTTGTCTCTGGAGGGAGAACTGTGACATTGTGCCATTTGCAAAGTCATTGCAGTCTGATACAGGAAACCTGGCGGAGAGACCCAAACTGGCTTCATACGACTGGCAGTGCAGGGGAGAGATTGAAGCTTTGGGATGCTCTTGCAAAGTTCTGGAGAAAGTGGCAGGTCTCCTCAAGAAAGTAGACGCTACGGTGGTAGGCAGTGGCAGAGTTGAGGGCATCCAGTCAACTTCTTGAGCACAATGCCACTGCTCACTCTTCCAAAAGCAGCTAGCCAGGTGAGGAGAAGCCTACAAGGCCGAATTTTAGAGCCTGTGCCGTGACCAAGCGTGTCCACGGCTGCCACGTTCGCTTGCTGCCAGAAGCTTTCTGCCCTCTCTGCTTTACCCCCAAGCAGCTGCTCCTGTTGGAGGCTGGATGTAAGAGAGGAGGCTTAGAGCTCTGCTGCCAGCGTCCAGGTTGAGCTGCCCACGAGATCCTAGCCTGCAGCGACTTTCCACTGGGGCTTCCCACTCCCTGGGTTCAGTGGACATTTAAGTCTTCTGTTTTTCAACTCTTAAGTGGTCCTCTTTGGGAGTACTCAAGAGGTGATTTTAATTTGATTGGGGTTGGTTTTTTTTCCCCTCCCTCCACAGCACACAGAAGCTGACTTCAAGAGCCGATTAAAGTCTCGACCGGAACTTGAAGAGCTGCTAGCGCAGATGAACTGAGATGAGGAAGAACGCTCCATCTGCTTCAGAGCCACCCCTGGGAGAGCGAGGCTTCTCCTCCGTGGCTGCTGAAGCCTCCAGAAGGCGACTTCATGAGCATTGCACTGATAATTTGGTGAATTGGAAGAAATTTCCACTGTCGTCAAGCAGCTTGTCTTAATAAAGACAAATACATGTGTTTGTATCTGACTGATTTGTACGCTGAGTGAAGGGGGTCCACAATGAAATGTGGCTTTTCTCAATTCTTCCCCCTTTTTTCCCCCCCCCCTGTATGTTTTACTCTTGTTATAGGAGGATTTCTGCAAGTTAATAATGCTGTACTGCAACTCTCCCAGGTGGTACTGATGCGGAAGCGACCGTCCTGCTCCTTTCTTCAGCTGAAGGCTGGAGCAACGCGTTATTCTCGTAGAGCTGCTTAAATCGGAGCTTTGCCAACATGAATGGAGCCTCACAGCCCTGGGAGGGTGGGGGATGATCGTCCCCGAGCAGCTGAACAACCGCTGCTTAACAGAAAAAAAAGCCTCGGGGGGGCAGAGGCAGGAAGGTTGGAGCCGTGTGTGAGGCGGCGTATGCAGAATTTCTCCTTAATTTCTGATTTGCCTTTCAAGCCATAAAGGATAAACTTTCCCCTGGATCCCTGAAGTCAGCCTAGTTTTTACGACAGCCGTTCGGAAAGGGAGAAATTACTCGTGCCTTGAAAGGAGAAATCTCAGAAGCGCAAAGCGCTTTGGGGAATTCCCCAGGATGGTGCCAGATGCTTTTCCTGGGACTGCCGCTTTTCTTGAGTGATGCGGGACTGAATTTGGCCGGGCTGCTCAGCTGCTCATCGTCACCCTGCAAAACCCAGAGCCCGCGGGAGCTGCGGCTTTTGGGTGCACGTACGGGCGCTGGGTCGAACAGGTCGCGGCGCCTGGGTTTTTGCTTCGATCCTCGTCATTGCAAATCCTGAGATCGGGTGCACGCAGCTGTTTTTATTTAGGCTGGAGCTGAGATGACACCTGATCACGCCATCCTATTAAGAAGTATGTTATAACCAAATTTGAGCCCTGGTTTGATGGATGCTAAGAGGAGGTTCTGTTCCTGCCCCAAAACTGGTTTGTTTGGGGTTTTTTTTTCCCCCCCTTTCTAAGGACCAGCTCTCTGGAAAGAGGGAAAATAGCTCATTCATTAGCACTCTCCCCCAAACTGGGGTTGCCCAGGCGTTGCTCGTGGTCCTGTGCCGGCTCTGATTTTTGGGCGGCAGTGCCAAACCCCAGCCCCTCAGCAGTCCCAGCACCCACCTTCCTGGGAGACAGCCTGGAACATTCCCCCTGGCAAAAACCACGGGCGCCCTTCCCTTTCCAGCCTACAAAAAGAACTTTATTTTCTTGTTCATAGCTCCGACTGCCTGTCGGAAAAGGACCTGGGGGTGCTGGTCGACAGCCGGCTGAACATGAGCCGGCAGTGTGCCCAGGCGGCCAAGAAGGCCAATGGCATCCTGGCCTGTATCAGAAATGGTGTGGCCAGCAGGAGGAGGGAAGTGATCGTGCCCCTGTACTCGGCCCTGGTGAGGCCGCACCTCGAATACTGTGTTCAGTTTTGGGCCCCTCACTACAAGAAGGACATCGAGGTGCTGGAGCGTGTCCAGAGAAGGGCAACGAGGCTGGTGAGGGGTCTGGAGAACAAGTCTGCTGAGGAGCGGCTGAGGGAACTGGGGTTGTTTAGCCTGGAGAAAAGGAGGCTGAGGGGAGACCTCATCGCTCTCTACAACTCCCTGAAAGGAGGTTGTAGCGAGGTGGGGTCGGTCTCTTCTCCCAAGGAACAAGCGATAGGACGAGAGGAAACGGCCTCAAGTTGTGCCAGGGGAGGTTTAGATTGGACGTGAGGAAAAATGTCTGTACTGAAAGAGTGGTGAAACATTGGACCAGGCTGCCCAGGGAAGTGGTGGAGTCCCCATCCCTGGAGGTATTTAAAAGACGAGTAGATGAGGCGCTTAGGGACATGGTTTAGTGGGCCTGGTGGTGTTGGGTTGACAGTTGGACTCGATGATCTTAGAGGTCTTTTCCAACCTCAATGATTCTATGATTCTATTGTTAGGAGGTGGTGTTCAGAGGAGCCTCTCGCTCCGTAAGAGTCCCTTTTTCCCCCCATCCCTAATGCTCCTGGGGCTTCCTGGGAGATAAATCCCACCCCAAATCCTGTCCCGTGGGACATGAGGTTATCGGTGCTGGGAAAAGCCTTGGGACGACACAGGGAAGGACATGGAGTGGAAATCCACAGCAGGGCTGTTGCGGAGCCGAGACCCAGCCTGGGTGCCATGAACACACCCAGTTTGGGACATTTTGGGCTGCAAATCCCCATCTCGCCCCACAACTGTCCCCTCTGAGCTCCCGGTTATCCCCGGCGGCGCAGATGGAGACGAGTGCTTCAGGCAGGATGATGAACGCCACCGGATTTAATTTCCCAACAACGCAGTGTGGATTTACCGGCACACCCACCCGCTTGAATAAAAAAATAACACAAAAGAAAGGGTCAAATGGCGCAGCTGCCCCGTTCCTGGGATGCCGATGGTGGGCTTGGCGGGTGGGGGGTGGGCCTGGTGTGAGCCGGACGCCTGGCGCGGCTCCTCCGCCGCCCGCCGCCCCGTTCCTGGGATGTGGGCTGGCCGGCTCCTCGGCGCGCTGCCGCCGGGCCATGCACTCGCCGAAAGCCCGGACCTGGGGCTGGCAGTGCCTCCAGTCCTGCCGCGCCGCCATGCACTCCTGCAGCTCCCGGTGCTGCGCTGCGCAGCCCGTCCGCAAGATCATGGCGTCCACCGGGTCCTCGGCCTCCTCGTCCTCATCTTCCTCCAACAATGGACGGCTCCTGGCGTGTCCGGGCCTCGCCATCGCTGAGCCGGGCTGGAGGGAGGTGGTAGGCGTCGGGGTGCTGTCTTCCCCTTGAGACCCCTGCTTGGGTCACTGCCCTCTTTTTTGGGGGCACCCCCTAGAGTGCCCAGCACCCCCATACCTCCATGGGCGCTCAGCACCCTCTGCACCCCCCTCCCACACCCCTATGGGTGCCCAGCACCCCCCATGCCCCCATGGGTGCCCCCATACGCTCCATGCACCCCCAGGAGGAG